CATGAAAGTATATTTATTGATGATGTGACTATGATGTGACTAAAAGTGCATAAGTCATACAGCATAATGAATAGCAAGTAAGACAACGGAAATATACTATTATGTATTCTTACATGTTTATTGATTTCATTCATACAACACAATGAACAGCAGGTAAGATCATGATAGTATCATAATGTGTGATTAAATAGAATAAATATAATGTTAATGTATTCATTACATGTTTATTGAATTTCATTCAACACAGCAATAATGAATAGGCAGGTAATAACAGGTAGATCATGATAGTATCAATAAGGTGGTGAGTTAAAGGTTCAATGTAAAAGGAAGTTATGAGATAATTTTTATGAATTAGAAAGTTTATTCGTTTGCTATAAAGAGACCATTTACGTTGAAATTTACCTGATTACCTATGGTTAATCAATGTTTTATGAAAAATTTGTAATCTTAAAAGTTAGTTAGCCACCACAGCTTTGTTAAGTATGTGAAGTTATGGGCAGCCAACCTGAGTTTTATACTCAGCGCGTCGATTTTTATCACGCGCAGGTATGAAGTCGTGAATTGCTACTAGAAGACTTGAAGAGTATATCAAAAGCAGAAGTGACTAATTTGGGAGTAGGTAAGAATTGGAAGTTATATAAGTAAAGAATTATGGCATGTATTAAGATTTTATGGCATGTAATATTTCTTTATATTGTTAGAGCTTATGTAGGATTTGTAAAATATAAGTGGAAAACATTGTAATAATTTTGGTGTAAGTAAGTTGAAGAGATAAGAATAATATTTATGAAATGGATTGAAGATGAAATAATTTACTAATAGTTGGTATGAATTAGGACATGAAAAAAACTTTGATATAGATTCTGAATGAAATTAATTGCTAAGATATTTAAATGCTTTTTGAGGATTTATACAATTAAGAAATTATAGTGATTTTGTGATTTATGTTTTATGGGTGTTGATCTGAGTTTTTGGGAGTGTTTAATAAAATCAACATTTAGCATACCCGGATGAATATCTAGCATGAAACAAGACAAAAGTTCAACCAGATTGTAACGTCTCGGCTCGGTTTCAATTCCGGGTTAACGGGTGGACGCGGGAAGGGGTTGTTACATAAATAAATTATACAATTTAAATTAAATCAATGATCTAAGTTTTAGTTAAGTTTGTATTTAAACAATTTACATTCATATAATAGTAATTAATAATTCTAATAATAGATAAAAGTTTAATAATTCAAATAATTCAATATGAAATAACATATACAAGAAATATTATTTAATAAGTTTAATTATTATTAAACAATTAAAAATAATAGTTGAAATTAATTTATTATTAAATAATTAATTCTATAAAACATAGAAAAATGAAAGAAAAAATTAAAATTGATTCTAAATATAGATATTTTAGGTTAAGCTAAACGTATGTAACAATGACCTTTAGATAATTGCTGGACAAACATAGTTATTGAAATGAAAGAAATGAAATAAAAAGTGAAATAAATGAATAAAAAGTGAATTTCAAGAACAACATTACAAAAAGACACTAAAAACAAATCAATTAAAAATAAAAATATCAAAATTAATTTGCCCACAATCTCTTAATATGTATATGAATGGATAAATACAAAAATGAATGAGATAAATATAATTCTACTAACAAAAAATTTAAGAAAAATAGAAGAGTCTCAAAGAAAGAATAAAAGAGCATAGTAAAAGGGCATATGAATCATGATAAATATGAAGAAATAGTAATTTATTTAATACCAATACCACTATGGCTATATCACATGCACTTTCCACATAACATAAATTGAATCAAACTGAATAAGATTATTGCACTCTAGCTCTGTAATGACATTTTTCATATCTCCAAAAAAAAAAAAAAATCAAATCCTAGATAATTAACATTTCCATCGTTTGGTAATAATGAAAGGCAACTAAATGAATATAGCATGCAATTTGGATCTATACCTGCATCATCCGCATGTCAAAGCCATCAACAAACATAGTTACTAATACCTACACAATTACTTGAAAATTAGATTTCAAATATAACTTGCTCTTGCTTTTATACTATGCTCTTAGAGAGCTTTTTTTTTTTTTTATCTCTCTTATTATCTACCATTTTTCAAGAGCTAATATATAACAATCCAATCTTAAATTACTAATACCTACACAATTACTTGAAAATTAGATTTCAAATATAACTTGCTCTTGCTTTTTTTTTTTTTTTTATTATCTAATTTCAAGAGCATAATATATAACATCCAATTCTTAAATAGATCACTCTAACAACAGTAGAATGAATTGTCAAAAAAATAAAAATAAAAATAAAAATAAAACCATGCATCATTTATCCATTGACAAAGTAGATCAACTGTTATGAATACCAAATCGACTAAATACCAAATCCACAAAGGGCATATAAGGGTGCTAAGTTAGCTAACTAATCGGTTAGTATTAATCTTTTAGTATTAGTTGGCCCAAGCCAAAGTAAGCCCACATCACACGTTTTCACCTCATGGGGTTCTTACCTTTTACTCAATTCACCTCTACCCTTTCAACTTTTAATATGGTATCAAAGCAGGTCTGGTCCGGTCCAGTTATTCCTCAGTTCACCGGTGTTGCGGCTCTCGTCTAGATGTCGAGTCCCTAGTGACCCTAGTGAGGCGCCGCTGCTTTTCAATTCAGACTCTCTTCTAGATGTCCAGTCCCTTGTGAGGCCCATTCAATTTCATGGGCAAAACGCCAGTTCAATTTCAGGGGGAGGATCCGAAAGGGTTGCACTTGAGGGGGAGTGTTAAGAAATCCCACATCGACTAAATACCAAATCCACAAAGGGAATATAAGGGTGCTAAGTTAGCAAGCTAATTGATTAGTACTAATCTTTTAGTATTAGTTGGCCCAAGCCAAAGTAAGCATACGTTTCACCTCACAGGAGAATAACTAAAAAAAACTCACAAACTTGCACCTTTGAGCCATGCTCCGGTTTGCAAATCCCTTTCAAATAAATATATAAAGGATTAACTAAAGAGAGATAAAAAGATTCAATTTAAAAGCATTTAAATATAAAGATATACACAAAGAGATTTGCTTAAATTTCACACTATCCATGGGCTTCATAATTGCCTCACTTTTTTCACTATCCATGGGCTTCATAATTGCCTCACTTTTTTCTTTGTTCTCTATCTCTCTTATCTTGACAAAATTAATTTCTCTTGCATCTCTCTTCATAATCCTTCTCCCTTGCATCACAGCCGTTCACAGCTTGCCGCCATATACTCCACCAGACATTATCCTTCTCAACTGTGGTGAGTCCTCTCTCACAACATCACCCGACGGCCGAAATTGGGTTAGCGATGCCCGATCCAAATTCGGTGCCTCTACCTCTCAGAACTCATCATTTGCTTTCAAAGCCTCCCGACAAGATACATCTGTGACCCAAGTCCCTTACATGACAGCTCGTATTTTTCTATCCAAATTCACCTACAGCTACGTGTTTCCTGTCTCACCTGGCTCAAAATTTGTTCGTCTCTACTTCTATCCTGTTGCTTACTCCAATCTTGATATCTCCAAATCCTTCTTCTCCGTTGAAGCCAATGACTACACACTTCTAAGCAACTTTAGCGCTTCTCTTACAGTTTCAGCCATGCAGCCTCCAGCTGCTGCCATTGTGAAAGAGTTTGTCATTACTATTCAGGTGAATCAGATGCTTAACATAACTTTTAATCCATCTCTGAAATCTTTTGCCTTCATAAATGGTATTGAAATCGTTTCCATTCCAGACGGTATTGAAATCATTTCAATGCCAGAGGGTCTTTATATACACGGAAATGATAGCCCGCTGACAAATGTTGGCATTGACTATCCCTTCTATTTGGATAATAAAACAGCTCTTGAGACTGTTTATCGGTTAAATGTTGGAGGACGGGATATTGACAGTTCAGGTGACACCGGAATGTACAGGAAATGGGTTCAAGACTCTAATTATATTTTTGGTGCTGCATTTGGAGTGACGTCTATTTCTAAGGTTAAGATAAATTATACAAAGATTACTCCGGCTTGGGTTGCTCCTGAATTGGTATATAGTACTATGCGTTCAATGGGTTCTCAACGAAAAGTCAACATTAAATACAATCTCACTTGGATATTCCCCGTTGATACAATCTCACTTGGATATTCCCCGTTGATACTGGATTCAACTATCTTGTTCGTCTCCACTTTTGTGAGACTCGACTAGAGGTTACCGGTGCGCTTCAACTGGTATTCTCGATATTCATCAATAATCAAACAGCGGTAGCTCAAGCAGATGTAATATACTGGAGCGGTGGTAGAGGTGTTCCAGTGTACAAAGACCACGTCATATGGATTCCAGCAGCAGGCCCCGGCAAGCAGGACTTGTGGCTCGCTTTACACCCATCTGATGAGTTTGAGTTAGCTGACGCGACCTTGAACGGTTTGGAGATATTCAAGTTGAATAAATCAAAGGGTAGTTTAGCAGGGCCAAACTCTGAACCAATACTAGTTCAGACACCACCAGTCCGGCAACCAAAACTATTAGAAAGAACAAAAAGCAAACACGTAAAGAAAGTAACAATTTTAATTGGACTAGTATTTGGTGGTGTCTTATTGCTTGCTTTTATTCTTTGTTTCTTTGTTTTTAATCAGAGGAGGAGAGGAAAGAAGTACTCAATTATTACCAAGTCCAAATCCTTTCGAGCCCCTTTTCCTCACACTTCAAGATCCACGACCAGAAAATCTTTTCTAAATCCTTTTAATCAATTCCGTCGGTTCTCAATTTTCGAAATTGAAGTAGCCACATCCAAATTCGACGACAAATCTAACAAGTCCTCGACAATTGCTTCACCATTGCCAACAGAGCGTTGCCGTAGATTTACAATTCTCGAACAGAGCGTTGCCGTAGATTTACAATTCTCGAAATCAAAGAAGCTACCAGAAATTTTGACGATCAAAACTTTATAGGTTCTGGAGGATTTGGTAATGTATATAAAGGATACATAGATAATGAATCCATCACAGTCGCTATCAAACGGCTAGATTCATCATCAAAGCAAGGGACTCGTGAATTCACGACAGAAATAGAGATGTTGTCACAAGTCCGCCATGTCAATCTTGTATCTTTGATCGGATATTGCATTGATGAAGGTGAAATGATTCTCATCTATGATTACCTTATCAACGGCACACTTGCAGAACATTTACATGAAACAAACAATGATCCTCTTCCGTGGAAAAAAAGGCTTCACATATGCATAGGCGCAGCACGTGGATTGCATTATCTTCATTCCGAGTTCACGCATACCATTATCCATCGAGACGTGAAGACAACTAATATTTTGCTAGACGAAAACTGGATTGCAAAAGTTTCAGATTTCGGATTATCCAAAGCAGCTTTCAAACAGGAGGTCAGTACTACTATAGTGAAGGGAACTTGGGGTTGGAGATCCAGGAATATGCAGATACCAAATATTAACAGAAATAATCTGATGTGTCTCATTTGGCTGTAGTATTAAATTTGAAGTCTTGTGTTGCTCTGAAGGCCGCTTGAATCGAAAATTTGGTGGAAAAACATATGAACTTAGCCATCTGGCTGAAAAATGCATTCCAAAATGAAACAGTTTTATTTCATAAACTCATCACTCCTATCCTCTGTGAAAAATGCATTCAAAATGGAAACATTTATCAAATAATTGATCCTTATTTGAAGGGGAAGATAGCTCCACGGTGTTTCAAAAAATTTGTGGAGATCGCATTCAGTTGCGTTCATAGCAAAGGCATTGAACGGCCCAATATGAGAGATGTTATGGAAGAACTTGAGTTTGCACTGAAGCTGCAAGACGATGCGGAAGCTGAGAATATGGGAATCAGTCCTGATGGTGAAATCGTCCATCCTTATGTATCTTTTTTCCCTGCCCAATGGTGTTGATATTGCCGACGGACCTCAGCTAGACTCAACTTCATCAACTGATTTTGATACAAGTAGTTCAACTACGGGTGTGTTTGGCTCAAGGATTGGCTGATATATTTTTTTTGTTTTCAGCTTTTAACAATTGTTAATTAGCAATTAATGCTCTATGTATGTTTTCAAATATTTGTGGTTAGAAACATTTTCTAAGACATTTCAATTATAATACTTATTCATTAAACATTATTTTTCTTGTTTTGGGGTTAAAAGTAGAATCAAAATTATTTGTAGTTTGAAGCTTTGAGTGATTTAAAGTAGTTCTAAAAGGACAGACAGGTCAGAGAGAAGGAAATGAAAGGCAGCCATGGCCCCAAGCTCTAAAAAAAATTTTCAATTTTCCTTTAAAATTAGATAAAGTTTTTGAATTTTTTTCCCAAGATGGTGTTTAAAGGTTTTTTGTTTTCAGCTTTTAACAATTGTTAATTAGCAATTAATGCTCTATATATGTTTTCAAATATTTGTGGTTAGAAACATTTTCTAAGACATTCAATTACTGTATTCTTGATGCATGGGCTTAGCTTTTTCATTTGAATGACAGCCTTTTGGGACGTATCTTGAGGGATAGCTACTGGCTGTTTTTGGGTGCCTCTGTTAATCTGCAGCTTAGTTCCTGGCTTTTGGGATTTACTCGTTTTGGTCCTTTTTCAGCTGTAAGCACTTTATATTTTCACCTATTCAAAAGAAACATGACAAGGATTATAAAATATGGTGCACTTGGCGAAATGAGCCGAGTGAGATTGTATCATTTAGATGCTATACTATAGGAACTATGGCCCAAAAATGTGTGCATAAAATGCCCACATCATCTACGCCCTGAAAAGCCCAACTCTCATTGATTTCGGGAAATCACATTGGAGAACCCAACACCATGGAAGGATAGATCTCAACAACCTCAAAATTACAAAGCTAATCACATTGGAGAACCCAACACCATGGAAGGATAGATCTCAACAACCTCAAAATTACAAAGCTAATTTTATGTGCAACTATGGAGACAAGATCCTTACTTTAACTGTCATAAGAGCTATTCATCGCGGAGTAAAACTAACAAGACCCTTCTGCATCAGAAAAACTAATCACATCACTTTTAGTGATGAAACAGTTGTGGGTTCCTTGCCCCAAAATAAAATATTTTTGGAACTGATATTTCCAATTTTTTGGGACTTTTTCTTGTCATTTTTGGTTTAGAAGGTATAGAATAAAAGTAGTTAAAGAGATTTAATAAGTTTATCAACGGGTAATTGGATTTTTTTTGTTATCAGCAAAATAAAATATTTTATTAATTTGTTTTTAAATGCTGTAAAAATTTAGCAAATTCAATATGCTAAAACCCGAACTAGAAGATTGCCCACTTACATCCAAATGCTGTAGGTAAACACAAAAAATTGATTTTTGGATGAAAGAAATTATTAATTTAAAAGTCTACAATACAGAAAAGAGAGAATCACCGAAATAGTTAAACAGAAGACCAAAAAATAACTTTGCTTGTGCCATAAACTAAGTTATGATTCTTAAAAAATGATTACACTAAAAGTTTAAAATATTTTTATTACGTAGCCTGCAGTCCACCCATTGAACCTCCTAGTGCATCAAAAAGTTTCAAAATATTTTTGATGGGAACACAACCACTTATGCTGTTTCCACCCCTAAAGTACAAGGATGAAATAATGTATTTAGCAAAATCAGAGGTCCAAGTAATTACCTAAGTCTTTTTAGAGTAATTTTTACGCCCATATATATAAGTTATTTTTGAGAATACCTTTATGTCCTAAAATATAAGTCGTTTTTTGGAAATTATTTTGTCCCAAAATATAACTCATTTTAAGTATTTTAAAAAGTAATAAATGATATTTTTCCAATGTTATCCCTATATAATAACTATATAATTATCGGTTTTGAGATAAATGATAATTTGGTCAAATTACTCCTAGGTTTGTTATAATTTTAGGAGAATTGATTGATTCCTTAATCCTTGTGCAAAAATCCTAAACGATTTATATTTTGGGACAAAATGAGTATTAACGAGTAATTAATGAAATTCTTTTAATTTTACCCTTATACATATATATAACACACATATATATATATATAGATATATACAATAACTTAATCGTGTTAATGAACTTTTTGCTATAATTTAAGAAAATTTATTGTTTACTTAATCACTGTGTAAAAATTTAAAATTTGTAAATAGTATGAGTACTAATTAATAACCAATAATTTTCTCTGGAAATTTTTCCCGAAAAGTTGCTTACCATACAATTGATGATTGGTTCGTTGCCAATTTGAACTATTCTGATTCAGTGGTTTAAATGAGTTTAGAAGTATATGCAATTGGGTAAATAAAAACAAAGGTAAGCATATATATAATCAACGACACCACTCATTTGGTCTACCGCAGGAGACCCATGAATGCGAATTCATGAAAATTGCTTGTCCACTGCAAGTCTTTCACGTCTATGGCATTTACTTCTGCATTATTGGTATAAGAATTGATGCGTACACTCACCATTGAATTTCTAAAATAGATTGTTATTACTTTTTTGAATGTTTTAAAATGTTTGTAAGATTTCTAAATTTATATATTTAAATAATTATTTTTTTATACTCATTCATTAAATAAATTTTTATTAATATCTTAACGAGTTAAGAATAAAAAATAGCAAAATAATTTTTATTAACTAAATGAATTTTCTGTTGAATTTTTAGCAAAATAATTTCATTTAAACTAAATGAATTTTTTCTGTTGAATTTTTCTGTTGAATTTTGTTTTCTTCTAACCAGTTTCATCTCTCTCAATAGTGAATACATGCCGGGCAAAAGTAACATCATGCTCTTATTTGAGTTTTTAGACATGACCATGGTTGCAGACAGTGCTTCCACTAGAATAATTTTAAGTTAATTCAACTCTCTTTTTTCTGTATTTGTTTAACACATATACATACATTGGTGTAAATCAATTCATAAAGTTCAAATTATTTATATTTTTTATCTTTTTTTAAAAAAATTATACATTAATTTTGGATTAAACTTTAATACAGAATAATTACTATTTATAAAGCTAGTGATCGAGGGGACTCGAACTTAAAACCTTTCATTTTTCACGTAAATAAAAAATAACCAGATCATCACTTGATTGGTTATTTGTTTGGATTATTATTGAATTATTTATTGCTCAAAATAATATTTTATTGTCATTATCATTGTCATTAACAATTCCTCATTCAATCAATATCAACAAGAAAATAAGTAGATAAGCAAAAGTATAAGTTAGTGGTAAGTGTATGATATGTGTTATTTTATAGTATTTTTAATAAAAATTCACTTTCCTAAACGAAAACGAAGATATTCCAGAAAGTCTACATAAATAGAGAGACTATTAATTAATTTTTATTTAGTTTTATTTATGTTTTTGTTTAAAGCTTCCTTGAATCATATTTTACTTGATCTTGAGGAATTTTGTAGGATTTTTTATAGGAAACCAGCAAAAATGAGAGAGAGGATCAATTGTCAAAGACTTCCAATAAGTACCATGCCCAAGGCGTGCTACCCAACACCCTCATGCTACTATGTAGAGTTCAAATTTGGCCAAAATTTCATATTAAGCCTATTCTACCCACATGAAGATATTGTGGGACGTACCTTATTAAAGCTAGAGTCCTATTAAGACCATGGAGGAGTCCTAATTAGAAAGAAATACAAAACCTAGACAGTTTCCTATCTCTAAAAGATTTCTTTCTCAATAGAAATTCACTTTCCTAAACAAATACGAAGATATGCTAGACAATCTATATAAAAAGAGAGACTATCCATTCACAGAGGATACATTGTCTATTCGATCAATTGCATATTCCATCTCCTGTTCTATTATTTTTCATAGTTTCCTATCTCTTTAAGACTTCAAGTATTCAAGTTGGTGTCAAGATTCAAGGAAGTCGCTCAAGCCAATCGTTGACTAGTTTTTATTTCTAAACTCTCTTTTTGAACTTTAAATGCTATCCAGGCAGTGATTTCTCCCATGGATATTATTTCATTAATCACTATTGGAGAAGGGTTTTTGATATGAAAAAAGGTAATTAATCACATTTGAGAATAATAACTTTGATGCGGAAGCTATATTGGTTGACTTATGGGGGAGTTTCATAAGTTAATGACCTTAGGATAAGTTAATGACCTTGGGTTATGAATTCATAAACAAACCATAAAACTTAACGATTTAATTCATGTTTGATTGCACTATTAGGAGATAGGTAATTAGACATGGTTAAAATAGCTAAAAATAAATCGGGAGAGCTTGTTAGTGATTTTAGGATTGTTTTCCCTATTTGAACAATTAAAATTGATTATCAAACTAGTATAATAAATTGGATAGAATTAAGTGAAGTCAAAATCCATAGTAGCTTTTAATCATTGATTTCTTTTCATCAAATATTCTTGCTTGAGTTCTTTTCCATTGTTCTATTTTAGTTTTTTTTCTTTTATTTTCCAATTATATTCTCTTTTATTTGTTAAAGTTAATTTCTTAAAATAATTTCTCTTATTGCCGTTTAAATAATAATAGGTTAATATAATTTTAGTACTTGGTATACAATCCTCGCGGAAATGATACTCTACTCACTTTTTATTATTTATTGTGATTTCGTATATTTACGAAAATCACTATCAACGTACACATGAGCCCGTCCAGACTTTTCCAATGAACTTATAGAAAGTGGAAGGAAGTTACATAGGGACATGTAGAGCTCATTTTTCAGTGCTTCCGGATGACATGATCAGAAGCATCTGCAATATCTTTATGCATTGTTTGCAACTTGTAAGGTCTATTTTTCCACTACAATGACAGCCAAGAAGGCTTACAAGTGGACTTAAACACAAGTTTTTGATATATAATTTTCAAATCTTTTTGTTGGAACATACGGAAAAACCGAAAAAGACTCAGCGAGCCAAAGATTTTTATATACACTAAATCACGGGAACAATGATTTTGTGCTCTTTCTCTTTTCGGCCCTTCTTTTACTATTTAAAAAGACTATAGTACCCTTATTTATCATCATTCCATCATTAACCACGGCAGTAGATGTCATTTGTTTTCAACGGTAGATGGAAGGATAGAGGATTACAGCTGGCAAATGATGGAACGTGTAAATCTGCCTGGGAAATTTACATGTTACTTTGTGACACTTTTAAGTTTGAAGATACTGCTACCTTTAAAGTTACAATTTTTAGTAATAAATGTGCACCTCGTTGATGGCCAAATAAAGCGTGAATCTCACACACCCAATGAGATGGAAAAAAAAGATGACAAGTGGGATAATTTTGATGCACAGGCTTCAACTGATGTAATATATAATAAAAGAAAAAAATTTTTATTCATTGAGTAATTTTCACAAACATTTTGGTGGGCACTTAAAACTGTATCTACTTCATATTTGTTCCCGTTCAAAGCACACTTGGATATATAGATTTTGAATACTTCCAATCAAGAATTTTAACCAGAAAGAGTGATGTTTATTTATTGTTGCAAGCCTTAATTGGGTTGGAGAATGGAAAATTAGATGTTGAAGGTGTACGATGCACAGCTCTAAATTGCAACGATGACAACCCATTTCGTTTTGAGCATCTCTCCATCCATGGCTTATCTTGTGTTTGATCAAATGACAGAGAGTGATTTTATTTTATTAGAAATGAATGCAAGGTGTACGATGCACAGCTCTAAATTGCAACGATGACAACCCATTTCGTTTTGAGCATCTCTCCATCCATGGCTTATCTTGTGTTTGATCAAATGACAGAGAGTGATTTTATTTTATTAGAAATGAAGAGGAAGAAGAAGTCTATGTTGGCACTATTTTTGGTCTGTCGCTCTCCCTCGTGCATTTGACATTCACATGCGCTTTGCCAGACATATATAGTTGTACCAAAATTTTTTATCCTTTCTTTTTTCCCCTTTCTTTCTACTTCTTAAATTTAATTCAAAATAATTTTTAATAATTATTTCTTCAAAATAAAATTCAAATCTCCTCAAAAATTCAAATTTCCTATACCCCCTAAACCTTTATAAGTAGTTGGAAAATATGGAAATTAAATTCAAACAACATTCAAAGTCCTAAATGTTTAGTGTTTTAGTTAAATTAAAATTTCATCTCTAAATTAAAATTTCATCTCTATTAATTCTACCATTGGGTAATATAGCTTTTACAGTTGCTTTTAAAGATTAACTAAGCACTTTTTATAAAACGTTAAATACTCTAATACTTAACATTTTATGGAGATTGATTGAATAATTTTGATAATTACATTCACTGTTTTTTTTTTTCTCAAATTCAGCTAATTAGCTTATTTCACTTTTAGTTGTTCGAATAGATTTTTATGAAATGTTAAAAGTCAAACGTTACATAAGTTAATTTTTCACAAAATGCTACTTTAACCTCTAAAAGCTAGTTCAGACATTATATTATCGAATACTATAAGATTTTAGTGTGGATTGATTCGTAAATTATATTATAAAATTTTTTTTATGAGAGTTCGTCATTTTCTCTTGCCTTCTCCGTATTTGAATGAATGACTTTTTATAATATTAATGAGTGATTAAACACTAACTTTGGTCTAAAGCAGGGGGCCTAAGAATGCGACTTCATGAAAATTGCTTGTCACATTTTTTTCCACTCCGACTCATTCAAGTCTACTCCGACTCATTTCAAGTCTTATGCGCATTTTCTTCTGCATTATTGCGTACATAGAATAGACGGCATTAAAAGATTTCCAAGTAGTCAATTAAACATTTGAATTTTCAAGTCATACTCTACATTTTTTATTATTTCCCATTTATTAATTTTAGATGCAACAGCTAAAATAAGCTATGTTGAAGCGAATAATTAAATTAAATAAGTATAGTATATATATATATATAACTTATATATTATATATTATTATATATAATATTAAGATGTTTTATTCATATTAAGTATTTCTATATCCTTTTATAAAAAGAAAAAAAACAACCTCTCTTATCTTTTAATTATCTATGCATTCAAACTAAATCTACAAATAGATAAATTGAAATTAATAATGTAAACTTATCCATCTGCGATTTGGCTATGAAAAACATCAAATATTTAGTTTTTTTCAGGCCAATTATTGTCATTAAATATGTGTATTCTTATATCACTTCAAAAATTTAATTAAATCAAGTAAAATTCATTTTAAAACTATAGAAAAAAAATGTTTTGAACTAGAAACTAAGAAAAAGATTTAAAGAATACAATAAGCCATTGAATTTTAAGGAATTGTTCATAATTTAAAAAACCTTAAACACTTACATATTTTCAAATCTTAAATTTCTAATTTTACTGCACCAATCTACAGAGAGCTCGAGTGAACTAATTTCTGTTGTCAGTAGTGAATTATTGCTCAAAATAATCGATGGATAGCACTCATAAATTTTGATGTCCCATGTCCCATGTCTATCAAGAAAGCAACACATTTTTAATGTCTACAAAGGATCCATCGATGATGGCGCCTTTACTGTCGCAATCAAGCGATTACATTCATCATCAAAAAAGGGAACTCGCGAGTTCAAAACAGAAATCCAGATGCTTTCCAAGCTCCGTCACACGCATCTCGTGTCTCTAATAGGATACTGTGATGATCCAGGCGAGATGATTCTAGTATACGAGTTCATGCACCGCGGCACTCTCCGTGATAATCTCTACAAAACCAAAAACCCTCCTCTTCCATGGAAGCAAAGACTACAGATCTGCATCGGAGCTGCACCTCTTCCATGGAAGCAAAGACTACAGATCTGCATCGGAGCTGCACATGGACTGCATCATCTCCATACAGGTGCGAAACACCCGATCATTCACCGCGACGTCAAGTCAACGAACATACTGATAGATGAAGAACTGGGTGGCTAAAGTTTCTGACTTTGACTTGTCAAGAATGGGTCCCACTAGCCAGTCCCAAACGCAAGTCAGCACTGTTGTCAGGGGTAGTGTTGGATATGTAGATCCAGAGTATTATCGTAGGCAACACCTCACTGAAAAATCTGACGTGTACTCATTCGGAGTTGTTCTATTGGAGGTATTATGTGCTAGGGCACCTGTAATTCCAGGATTACCCAAAGAGCAAGCGAATTTAGCTGATTGGGCTAGAATCTGCTATAGAAGAGGTGCACTCGACCGAATAATGGACCCGCACTTGAGAGGTGATGCTGATCTTGCCTGTTTGGAGAAATTTGGAGAGATCGCGGAGAGCTGTTTGCGTGACAATGGAGCACAAAGACCGGCAATGAGCGGCGTGATATGTGAGCTGGAGTTAGCATTGCAGCTTCAAGAGACGGCAGAGAAGAGTAGAAATAGTAGTTGGAGTTAGCATTGCAGCTTCAAGAGACGGCAGAGAAGAGTAGAAATAGTAGTGTTGAGAGTGTGGGTGAAGAGCAGGAAAGTCCATTGTTGTTGCGTCGGGAAGCTGTTGTAACTACCGATGATGATGATATATTTAGCGTTTCAGGCGAACAAAAGTAGGACTCCAAGAGCACAGTTAGTAGTGGTGAAGGGAGTGCTGCTAAACTTGATCCTGATGGATTTAAGTAAGTCTAAGTCTGTATTTTCGGAAATTATGAATCAAATGGGAAGATGAAAATTGTAGTTAAATCCAATTGATTTAAGCCTCTGGTATGCTTATTACAGTCTATCAAATATTTTGCATGGGTTTTAGTTTGGACTATAAGAATGCTTGATGATCTTTTCCAATTTGTAGTTCAATAGAATGGACAAAATTTCGTTTATACTCGACAATGTTGCTATTATAAGACAACAAACCTGCTCTGTTTTGTTTCTTAAAAATGTTGTTCCCGTTACTGGTTTTTTAATGTTGATAAGATGTGCAATTGGATAAAATATGGAGACTAAGGATCATTACCGCTGCTCTATTCTGGCTAGTTTGAATATTTTCTAAAAAATTTTAAGCATTTCTATGTAATTATTGCTATTTCTGAATTAATGAAAACAACTATCTAGGTTTCATTAATATAAATTAATAGGTTTGATATGGATCTCTCCAATGATTTATAATTAATCCCAACAATGATATAATTAATCCAACTTCTTAAGATCTGCATTGCTCTGTTTGTGAAGGGTATAATTATACTATTTTGTTGTCATTGTCGTTATAGCTATTCTATTCACCAGGTGTTCCGCAGTTCTTTATTTAATTTGTAATCAACAAGGTCTTTTTAAAGTCCTATGGATGACTTTCTACATACTAGAAGTCTTCTTGCCCGACCCGCTTTGTAGATGTTACATATTTTGTCCAACCACAATAAGACCTTACGGTCAGCCCCTTACTTTCTGAGCACGTACCCCTTGATTAAATGATAGTGCCAAAACTTGTCAATATTGAAGACTTGTTCAAGTCTTTGTTTACTCCCAAAAATGCTTCTTAAGTTAACAATTAACAGTTCTTCAAAACAAGAAGTTTACATGAAATTTCCATTGGAAAATTTAATTTCCATTTTTTTTTAATGGAAAGTTGTTGTAAACTTCTTTCCTTTATTCCTATCGTTGCCGATCGCCATAAACAAATAGTTGGATCTAAAAGATATTAAATTTCACACTATCGTTGGATCTAAAAGATATTAAATTTCACACTATCCATGGGCTTCATAATTGCCTCACTCTCTCTTATCTTGACAAAATTAATTTCTCTTGCATCTCTCTTCATAATCCTTCTCCCTTACATCACCGCCGTTCACAGCTTGCCGCCATATACTCCAACAGAAATTATCCTTCTCAGCTGTGGTGCGTCCTCTCTCACAACATCACCCGACGGCCGAAATTGGGTTAGCGATGCCCGATCCAAATTCGGTGCCTCTATCTCTCTGAACTCATCATTTGCTTTCAAAGCCTCCGGGCAAGATACATCTGTGACCCAAGTCCCTTACATGACAGCTCGTATTTTTCTATCCAAATTCACCTACAGCTTTCCTGTGACCGCACGTATATCTCAATCCAAATTCACCTACGTGTTTCCTGTCTCACCTGGCTCAAAATTTGTTCGTCTCTACTTCTATCCTGTTGCTTACTCCAATCTTGATATCTCCAAATCCTTCTTCTCCGTTGAAGCCAATGACTACACACTTCTAAGCAACTTTAGTGCTTTTCTTATGGTGACAGCTATAGAGCCTCCAGTCGCTGCCATTGTGAAAGAGTTTGTCGTTACTATTCAGGAAAAACAGATGCTTAACATAACTTTTAATCCATCTCTGAAATCTTTTGCCTTCATAAATGGTATTGAAATCGTTTCCATGCCAGACAGTCTCTATATACACGGAAATGATAGCCTGCTGACAAATGTTGGCATTGACTATCCCTTCTATTTGGATGATACAACCGCTCTTGAGACTGTTTATCGGTTAAATGTTGGGGGACGGGATATTGACGGTTCAGGTGACACCGGAATGTACAGGAAATGGGTTGAAGACTCTAATTACATTTTTGGAGCTGCATTTGGAGTGACGTCTATTTCTAAGGTTAAGATAAAGACTCTAATTACATTTTTGGAGCTGCATTTGGAGTGACGTCTATTTCTAAGGTTAAGATAAATTATACAAAGAGTACTCCGGCTTGGGTTGCTCCTGAATTGGTATATAGTAGTATGCGTTCAATGGGTCCTAATGCAAATGTTAACATTAACTACAATCTCACTTGGTTATTCCCCGTTGATACTGGATTCAACTATCTTGTTCGTCTCCACTTTTGTGAGACTCGACTAGAGGTTACCGGTGAGTTTCAACTGATATTCTCCATATTCATCAATAATCAAACAGTGGTAGCTCAAGCAGATGTGATCCTCTGGAGCGGTGGTAACGGTTTTCCAGTGTACAAAGACTACGTTGTATGGGTTCCAGCTGGAGTCCCTAGAAAGCAGGACTTGTGGCTCGCTTTACACCCATCTAATGAGACTGAGTTTGCTGACGCGATCTTGAATGGTTTGGAAATATTCAAGTTGAACAATTCAGAAGGTAGTCTAGCAGGACCCAACCCTGAACCAATTCGAGTTCCTCCAGAACCAGATCAACATCCAAGTTTAAAACAAAAACGAAGGAGCAGACTAGCATCACAGGTTTTGATCATTAATGTAGCTGTCTTTGGTGGCATATTCTCTTTAATTCTATGTCTCTTAGCCTATCAAAGAAGAAGGAAAGCTAAGGACTCTGCTACGATCGACCACATTTCTTGTCGGGCCCCATTTTCGTACAAATCTAATAAGTCCACGACAATTGCTTCACCACTGCCAACAGAGCGTTGCCGTAGATTTACGATTCTCGAAATCAAAGAAGCTACCAGAAATTTTGACGATCAAAACTTTATAGGTTCTGGAGGATTTGGTAATGTATATAAAGGATACATAGATAATGAATCCATCACAGTCGCTATCAAACGGCTAGATTCATCATCAAAGCAAGGGACTTGCGAATTCACGACAGAAATAGAGATGTTGTCACAAGTCCGCCATGTCAATCTTGTATCTTTGATCGGATATTGCATTGATGAAGGTGAAATGATTCTCATCTATGATTACCTTATCAACGGCACACTTGGAGAACATTTACATGAAACAAACAATGATCCTCTTCCGTGGAAAAAAAGGCTTCACATATGCATAGGTGCAGCACGCGGATTGCATTATCTTCATTATAGGTGCAGCACGCGGATTGCATTATCTTCATTCCGAGTTCACGCATACCATTATCCATCGAGACGTGAAGACAAATAATATTTTGCTAGACGAAAAAACTGGATTGCAAAAGTTTCAGATTTCGGATTATCCAAAGCAGCTTTCAAACAGGAGGTCAGTACTACTATAGTGAAGGGAACTTGGGGTTATTTAGATCCAGAATATGCAAGATACCAAATATTAACAGAAAAATCTGATGTGTACTCATTTGGTCTAGTATTATTGGAAGTCTTGTGTGCTCTGAAGCCGCTTGATCGAAATTTGGTGGAAGAACATATGAACTTAGCCATCTGGGCTGAAAAATGCATTCAAAATGGAAACATTTATCAAATAATTGATCCTTATTTGAAGGGGAAGATAGCTCCACGGTGTTTGGGGAAGATAGCTCCACGGTGTTTCAAAAAATTTGTGGAGATCGCATTCAGTTGCATTCATAGCAAAGGCATTGAACGGCCCAATATAAGAGATGTTATGGAAGAACTTGAGTTTGCACTGAAGCTGCAAGAGGATGCAGAAGCTGAGAATATGGGAATCAGTCCTGATGGTGAAATAGTCCATCCTGATGTATCTTTTTTCCCTGCCCAATGTGTTGATATTGCCGACGGACCTCAGCTAGGCTCAACTTCATCAACTGATTTTGATACAAGTAGTTCAACTAGGGGTGTGTTTGGCTCAAGGATTGGCTGATATATTTTTTTTGTTTTCAGCTTTTAACAATTGTTAATTAGCAATTAATGCTCTATATATGTTTTCAAATATTTGTGGTTAGAAATTAAATATTTGTGGTTAGAAACATTTTCTAAGCAATTTTCAATGTATATACTTATTTCATTAAACATTTTTTTCTTCGTTTTGGGGTTCAAAGTAGAATCAAAATTATTTGTTAGTTTGAAGGCTTGGAGTGATCTTAAAGTTCTAAAGACAACATACTCGAGTTGAGTATGCAACTCTCACAGAGACAGGAATCAAGAGAAGGAAAATGAAAGGCAGCCCATGGCCCAAGCTTCTAAAAAAAAATTTTTCAATTTCCCTTTAAAATTAGATAAAGTTTTTGAATTTTTTTTTAGATAAAGTTTTTGAATTTTTTTTCCCAGGATGGTGTTTAAAGGAAAAGTATTTAAGGAAATAGTGTTCCCGTAACAATATTTAATCAAAACAATAATATATGTGTGAAAATTTTATTACTGTATTCTTGATGCATGGGCTTCGCTTTCTCATTTGAATGACAGTCTTTTGTGACGTATCTTGAGGGATAGCTACTGGGTGTTTTTGGGTGCTTCTGTTAATCTGCAGCTTAGTTCCTGGCATTTGGGATTTACTCGTTTCGGTCCTTTTTCATCTGTAAGCACTCTATATTTTCACCTATTCTGAAGAAACATGACAAGGATTATAAAATGTGGTGTACTTGGCAAAATGAGGTATCATTTAGATGCTATACTATAGGAACTATGGGCCAAAAAATGTGTGCATAAAATGCCCACATCATCTACCCCCTGAAAAGCCCAACTCTCATTGATTTCGGGAACTCACATTGGAGAACCCAACACCATGGAAGGATAGATCTCAACAACCTCAAAATTACAAAGCTAATTTTATGTGCAACTATGGAGGCAAGATCCTTATGTTGAATAAACTTTAATATAGTCCAGATCTATTGTTTATAGAATTTATTTGACAAGAATATACAATAATCGGAAGCGTACCTTGATCCATAACGGTAGATCTATATTATGGGTTAACTCGTTGGGACAATTTGATTCTCACCGTAACAGCAGATCTACGTTTCTTCACTCTGGCCTTTTGTCCGTAAGTGCTCTCTTAATGGCCGTAAGTGCTCTCTATGGTGCAGGAAGGCAATAATCAACAGCTGCGGGAGTTTGCTTTATATGAGCTATCATCAAGAAACAACCACTATCTCCGTGATCTGCTGTTTTAACGGATAGCCATACACAAATGCTCTAATTCTTACTGTGTTTAACCTGGTATCACTGTTGATCTCCTTTCTCTTTATATGATGCAGCAGAGGAAGGGTTATTAAAAATCCTAACTGGCTCTTAATCCATCAAGAGCTCAATTAAACTCATACATCGCTTGGGGCCACCTTAAAATTTAGAAAAAAAACCAAGCCCTTTAAATATCACATGGGCCACATAATCAGATTATTAAAATAATCTAAACGAATCGCCCACATTGGCCCTGTCATTTCCTTGAGTTGAGTCTATCATGTTTACCTTAATTAGAATTAAGATGATCAGATTATGGCGGTCATAAGTCATTAATCGACATGATTCCTTTCATATATCACAGAACACTTCAATTCATAAGCTTTAATGGAGAAACTATTCAACAAATAATACATTGTCACAATCAAATGTTATTGTTATCTCACTCGAACCATTATTGTATACATCTATAATGTGGATAACACATAAATAAGCAAAAACACATCTTTAACTGAATTCCCAAGTGTCACAATAATATAAGCAAAATAACCATATGTGTATATATATATCCAATGCAAAGCTACAATGTAGTTTAAAATTGATTCCATTGTTTAATCAAAAGGAGTGGATATAATACAGGTCAAATATTGGTTATATTGGGAGACAAATAAAATAGAAATTAAACGATCGGTTAAAAGGAAATTTCACATAAATTTTAGTTATAAGGGACATGTAATCGAATTACCATTTTACAATTCTAGCCCAAACAAGCCTTGTTAACTAGGCTCACGTACGTTTGGTCTTGGTCTTTGCTCTGCAATGAAAATAATTTAATTTTTTTATGTATATTAGAATATATAATTTTTCTATTTTGTTATAATTATAATATTGTGAATAATTATATTAACTAAAATCTAAGAATATTCTGGAAAAAAATAAACATTTTTATGCAAAGAATAAAATAAAAAATTAATAATGAGTTTTTTCACAGTCTCACAGGATATAGTTTTGCTTGGGCTTATTAATTAAATTTATATTATTTAAATTTATATTATATATTATATATATTATTGATAGATAGCTATTATAATAATTAGTATAATAATCATTGTTTTAGAGCATCATTTATAACTTTGATAATTAATTTTATGGCTGTTTTATAGGAAAAAGATTTTTTTCAATGTATTATATAATTTGCTAATATAACATGTTATGAACATATAACATGTTTTTTTGAAAATGGTTTAGGCACTCAATTAAACTATCCATCGGTGTTTCAAATGTAATTTTAAATGAATTTGGATATGAAAAGAGTAAATTTTCATGGACCTATTTTTATCGCTACCCTCAATTGTTGAATGTGAATCATAATGATTTATACTCCATCTATAAATAAGTCGTTTAAGATTGTTATATGATGATTAAAAAAATAATTAATTTTCTTTAATTATAACAAATTGTTTCATTAATTTGACTAAGTACCATTTATAAAATTATAGAAATAACTAGTAGAAGGCCTGCACTTTGCACGACAACGGCTTTATTGTTATACATTGTATTTTATAAATTTATTTAGTATACTATTAAAAGATATTTTCTAGCAAATTACTCCATTAAATGTATTTAAATAGAAACTGGCCTGCACTTTGCACGACATATCAGCATGACAAGACAAAAGTTCAACCAGATTGTAGCGTCTCGGCTCGGTTCATTCGGGTTAACGGGTGGACCGGGAAGGGGTGTTACATAAATAATTATACATTTAATTAATCATGTCTAAGTTTTAGTTAAAGTTTGTAATTTAAACAATTTAAATATCATATATAGTAATTAATAATTCTATATAGATAAAGTTTTTATAATTCAAATAATTCAATATGAATAACATATACAGAAATATTATTTATAAGTTTAATTATTTAACATTAAAATATAGTTGAATTATTATTATTAAATATTAATTCTATAAAACATAGAAAAATGAAAGAAAAATTAAAATTGATTCTATTGATATTTTAGGTTAAGCTAACAATTGGATTCTATCTGAGGAGTTTTATAGAAGCTTTATAAGCCTCAACTCGTATGTAAGCCGATGACCTTGTCTTAGGATGACATTCTGAGACACATATCCTTTTGAGTTAAATTGAAATGAAAGAAAATGAATAAAAATGTGAATTTCCAAGAACAGAACCAATTACAAAAATGACTAAAAAATCAAATCACCACTTACAAAATAAAAATATCAAATTAATTTGCCCACAATCTCGTTAATAAAATGTAATATACAATGGATAATTACAAAAAATGAATTAGAATAAATCACTAATTTCCTACTAGACAAAAAAATTTAAGAATAATAGAAAAATAGAGAGTCCTTGCAAAGAAAAGAATAAATGAATAAAAAGTGAATTTCAAGAACAACATTACAAAAAGACACTAAAAACAAATCAATTAAAAATAAAAATATCAAAATTAATTTGCCCACAATCTCTTAATATGTATATAAATGGATAAATACAAAAATGAATTAGATAAATATAATTCTACTAACAAAAAATTTAAGAAAAATAGAAAAATAGAAGAGTCTCAAAGAAAGAATAAAAGAGCATAGTAAAAGGGCAAATGAATCATGATAAATACAAAGAAATAGTAATTTATTTAATACCAATACCACTATGGCTATATCACATGCACTTTCCACATAACATAAATTGAACCAAATTGAATAAGATTATTTCACTCTAACTTTGTAATGACATTTTTCATATCTCCAGAAAAATCAAATCCTAGATAATTAACATTTCCATCGTTTAGTAATAATGAAAGGCAACTAAATGAATATAGCATGCAAGTTGGATCGATACCTGCATCATCCGCGTGTCAAAGCCATTAACAAACATAGTTACTAATACCTACGCAAAATTACTTGAAAATCATATGTCAAATATAACTTGCTCTTGCTTTTTTTTTTTAATCTAATTTCAAGAGCATAATATATAACAACATCCAATTCTTAAATAGATCACTCTAACAACAGCAGAATGAATTGTCAAAAATGTGAAAATAAAAATAAAAATAAAACCATGCGTCATTTATTCATTGACAAAATAGATCAACTGTTAAGAATCTCACATCGACTAAATACCAAATCCACAAAGGCTAAATTAGCTAGCTAATTAGTTAGTACTAATCTTTTAGTATTAGTTGGCCCAAGTCAAAGTAAGCATATGTTTCCAACTCATGGGGTTTTTAACTTTTACTCAATTTAACTCTACCCTTTTAACTTTTAATATCAATATAGGAAAATAACTAAAAAAAGCTCATAAACTTGCACCTTTGAGCCATGCTCGGGTTTGCAAATCCCTTTCAAATAAATATATAAAGGATTAGTTAAAGAGAGATAAAAAGATTGAATTTAAAAGCATTTAAATATAAAGATATACACAAAGAGATTTGCTTAAATTTCACACTATCCATGGGCTTCACTATCCATGGGCTTCATAATTGCCTCACTTTTTTCTTTGTTCTCTATCTCTCTTATCTTGACAAAATTAATTTCTCTTGCATCTCTCTTCATAATCCTTCTCCCTTGCATCACAGCCGTTCACAGCTTGCCGCCATATATTCCAACAGACATTATCCTTCTCAACTGTGGTGCGTCCTCTCTCACAACATCACCCGACGGCCGAAATTGGGTTAGCGATGCCCGATCCAAAGTCGGTGCCTCTAACTCTCAGAACTCATCATTTGCTTTCAAAGCCTCCCGACAAGATACATCTGTGACCCAAGTCCCTTACATGACAGTGACCGCACGTATATCTCAATCCAAATTCACCTACGTGTTTCCTGTCTCACCTGGCTCAAAATTTGTTCGTCTCTACTTCTATCCTGTTGCTTACTCCAATCTTGATATCTCCAAATCCTTCTTCTCCGTTGAAGCCAATGACTACACACTTCTAAGCAACTTTAGCGCTTCTCTTACAGTTTCAGCCATGCAGCCTCCAGCTGCTGCCATTGTGAAAGAGTTTGTCATTACTATTCAGGTGAATCAGATGCTTAACATAACTTTTAATCCATCTCTGAAATCTTTTGCTCCATCTCTGAAATCTTTTGCCTTCATAAATGGTATTGAAATCGTTTCCATGCCAGACAGTCTTTATATACACGGAAATGATAGCCCGCTGACAAATGTTGGCATTGACTATCCCTTCTATTTGGATAATACAACAGGTCTTGAGACTGTTTATCGGTTAAATGTTGGAGGACGGGATATCGACGGTTCAGATGACACCGGAATGTACAGGAAATGGGTTCAAGACTCTAATTATATTTTCGGAGCTGCATTTGGCGTGGTGTCTATTTCTAAGGTTAAGATAAATTATACAAAGAGTACTCCGGCTTGGGTTGCTCCTGAATTGGTATATAGTACTATGCGTTCAATGGGTCCTCGACGAAAAGTTAACATTAAATACAATCAATCTCACTTGGATATTCCCCGTTGATACTGGATTCAACTATCTTGTTCGTCTCCACTTTTGTGAGACTCGACTAGAGGTTACCGGTGCGCTTCAACTGGTATTCTCCATATTCATCAATAATCAAACAGCAGTAGCTCAGGCAAATGTAATATACTGGAGCGGTGGTAAAGGTATTCCAGTGTACAAAGACTATGTCATATGGATTCCAGCAGGAGGCCCCGACAAGCAGGACTTGTGGCTTGCTTTACACCCATCTGATGAGCATGAGTTAGCTGACGCGATCTTGAACGGTTTGGAGATATTCAAGTTGAATAATTCAAAGGGTAGTTTAGCAGGGCCAAACTCTGAACCAATAATACTAGTTCAGACACCACCAGTCCGGCAACCAAAATTATTAGAAAGAACAAAAAGAAAAAACGTAAAGAAAGTAACGATTTTAATTGGACCAGTATTTGGTGGTGTGTTATTTCTTGCTTTTATTATTTGTTTCTTTGTTTTTAATCAGAGGAGGAGAGGAAAGAAGTACTCAATTATTACCAAGTCCAAATTCTTTCGAGCCCCTTTTCCTCACACTTCAAGATCCACGACCAGAAAATCTTCTCTAAATCCTTCTAATCAATTCCGTCGGTTCTCAATTTTCGAAATTGACGTCGGTTCTCAATTTTCGAAATTGAGGTGCCACAATCAATTCGATCGACAAAGTTATTAAGTCCAACGACTGAATTGCTTTCACCATTGGCACAGAGCGTTGCCGTAGATTTACAATTCTCGAAATCAAAGAAGCTACCAGAAATTTTGACGATCAAAACTTTATAGGTTCTGGAGGATTTGGTAATGTATATAAAGGATACATAGATAATGAATCCATCACAGTCGCTATCAAACGGCTAGATTCATCATCAAAGCAAGGGACTCGTGAATTCACGACAGAAATAGAGATGTTGTCACAAGTCCGCCATGTCAATCTTGTATCTTTGATCGGATATTGCATTGATGAAGGTGAAATGATTCTCATCTATGATTACCTTATCAACGGCACACTTGCAGAACATTTACATGAAACAAACAATGATCCTCTTCCGTGGAAAAAAAGGCTTCACATATGCATAGGCGCAGCACGTGGATTGCATTATCTTCATTCCGAGTTCACGCATACCATTATCCATCGAGACGTGAAGACAACTAATATTTTGCTAGACGAAAACTGGATTGCAAAAGTTTCAGATTTCGGATTATCCAAAGCAGCTTTCAAACAGGAGGTCAGTACTACTATAGTGAAGGGAACTTGGGGTAACTTGGGGTTATTTTTAGATCCAGAATATGGCAAAGATACCAAATATTAACAGAAAATCTGATGTGTACTCATTTGTGTTAGTATTATTTTGAAGTCTTGTGTGCTCTGAAGCCGCTATGATCGAAATTTTGGTGGAAGACATTATGAACTTAGCCATCTGGGCTGAAAAATGCAGTTCTGAAAAATGCATTCAAAATGGAAACATTTATCAAATAATTGATCCTTATTTGAAGGGGAAGATAGCTCCACGGTGTTTCAAAAAATTTGTGGAGATCGCATTCAGTTGCGTTCATAGCAAAGGCATTGAACGGCCCAATATGAGAGATGTTATGGAAGAACTTGAGTTTGCACTGAAGCTGCAAGACGATGCGGAAGCTGAGAATATGGGAATCAGTCCTGATGGTGAAATCGTCCATCCTTATGTATCTTTTTTCCCTGGTGTTGATATTGCCGACGGACCTCAGCTAGACTCAACTTCATCAACTGATTTTGATACAAGTAGTTCAACTACGGGTGTGTTTGGCTCAAGGATTGGCTGATATATTTTTTTTGTTTTCAGCTTTTAACAATTGTTAATTAGCAATTAATGCTCTATGTATGTTTTCAAATATTTGTGGTTAGAAACATTTTCTAAGACATTTCAATTATAATACTTATTCATTAAACATTATTTTTCTTGTTTTGGGGTTAAAAGTAGAATCAAAATTATTTGTAGTTTGAAGCTTTGAGTGATTTAAAGTAAAGTTTCTAAAGACAGGGACAGGATTCAGAGAGAAGAAATTGAAAGTCAGAGAGAAGGAAATGAAAGGCAGCCATGGCCCCAAGCTCTAAAAAAAATTTTCAATTTTCCTTTAAAATTAGATAAAGTTTTTGAATTTTTTTCCTTTTTTGTTTTCAGCTTTTAACAATTGTTAATTAGCAATTAATGCTCTATATATGTTTTCAAATATTTGTGGTTAGAAACATTTTCTAAGACATTCAATTACTGTATTCTTGATGCATGGGCTTAGCTTTTTCATTTGAATGACAGCCTTTTGGGACGTATCTTGAGGGATAGCTACTGGCTGTTTTTGGGTGCCTCTGTTAATCTGCAGCTTAGTTCCTGGCTTTTGGGATTTACTCGTTTTGGTCCTTTTTCAGCTGTAAGCACTTTATATTTTCACCTATTCAAAAGAAACATGACAAGGATTATAAAATATGGTGCACTTGGCGAAATGAGCCGAGTGAGATTGTATCATTTAGATGCTATACTATAGGAACTATGGCCCAAAAATGTGTGCATAAAATGCCCACATCATCTACGCCCTGAAAAGCCCAACTCTCATTGATTTCGGGAAATCACATTGGAGAACCCAACACCATGGAAGGATAGATCTCAACATCACATTGGAGAACCCAACACCATGGAAGGATAGATCTCAACAACCTCAAAATTACAAAGCTAATTTTATGTGCAACTATGGAGACAAGATCCTTACTTTAACTGTCATAAGAGCTATTCATCGCGGAGTAAAACTAACAAGACCCTTCTGCATCAGAAAAACTAATCACATCACTTTTAGTGATGAAACAGTTGTGGGTTCCTTGCCCCAAAATAAAATATTTTTGGAACTGATATTTCCAATTTTTTGGGACTTTTTCTTGTCATTTTTGGTTTAGAAGGTATAGAATAAAAGTAGTTAAAGAGATTTAATAAGTTTATCAACGGGTAATTGGATTTTTTTTGTTATCAGCAAAATAAAATATTTTATTAATTTGTTTTTAAATGCTGTAAAAATTTAGCAAATTCAATATGCTAAAACCCGAACTAGAAGATTGCCCACTTACATCCAAATGCTGTAGGTAAACACAAAAAATTGATTTTTGGATGAAAGAAATTATTAATTTAAAAGTCTACAATACAGAAAAGAGAGAATCACCGAAATAGTTAAACAGAAGACCAAAAAATAACTTTGCTTGTGCCATAAACTAAGTTATGATTCTTAAAAAATGATTACACTAAAAGTTTAAAATATTTTTATTACGTAGCCTGCAGTCCACCCATTGAACCTCCTAGTGCATCAAAAAGTTTCAAAATATTTTTGATGGGAACACAACCACTTATGCTGTTTCCACCCCTAAAGTACAAGGATGAAATAATGTATTTAGCAAAATCAGAGGTCCAAGTAATTACCTAAGTCTTTTTAGAGTAATTTTTACGCCCATATATATAAGTTATTTTTGAGAATACCTTTATGTCCTAAAATATAAGTCGTTTTTTGGAAATTATTTTGTCCCAAAATATAACTCATTTTAAGTATTTTAAAAAGTAATAAATGATATTTTTCCAATGTTATCCCTATATAATAACTATATAATTATCGGTTTTGAGATAAATGATAATTTGGTCAAATTACTCCTAGGTTTGTTATAATTTTAGGAGAATTGATTGATTCCTTAATCCTTGTGCAAAAATCCTAAACGATTTATATTTTGGGACAAAATGAGTATTAACGAGTAATTAATGAAATTCTTTTAATTTTACCCTTATACATATATATAACACACATATATATATATATAGATATATACAATAACTTAATCGTGTTAATGAACTTTTTGCTATAATTTAAGAAAATTTATTGTTTACTTAATCACTGTGTAAAAATTTAAAATTTGTAAATAGTATGAGTACTAATTAATAACCAATAATTTTCTCTGGAAATTTTTCCCGAAAAGTTGCTTACCATACAATTGATGATTGGTTCGTTGCCAATTTGAACTATTCTGATTCAGTGGTTTAAATGAGTTTAGAAGTATATGCAATTGGGTAAATAAAAACAAAGGTAAGCATATATATAATCAACGACACCACTCATTTGGTCTACCGCAGGAGACCCATGAATGCGAATTCATGAAAATTGCTTGTCCACTGCAAGTCTTTCACGTCTATGGCATTTACTTCTGCATTATTGGTATAAGAATTGATGCGTACACTCACCATTGAATTTCTAAAATAGATTGTTATTACTTTTTTGAATGTTTTAAAATGTTTGTAAGATTTCTAAATTTATATATTTAAATAATTATTTTTTTATACTCATTCATTAAATAAATTTTTATTAATATCTTAACGAGTTAAGAATAAAAAATAGCAAAATAATTTTTATTAACTAAATGAATTTTCTGTTGAATTTTGCAAAATAATTTTTATTAACTAAATGATTTTCTGTTTTGAATTTTTCTGTTGAATTTTGTTTTCTTCTAACCAGTTCATCTCTCTCAATAGTGAAATACATGCGGCCAAAAAGTAACATCATGCTCTTAATTTTTAGACATGACCCATTTTTTAGACATGACCATGGTTGCAGACACAGACAGTGCTTCCACTAGAATAATTTTAAATTAATTCAACTCTCTTTTTTCTGTATTTGTTTAACACCATATACATACATTGGTGTAAATCAATTCATAAAGTTCAAATTATTTATATTATTTATCTTTTTTAAAAAAAATTATATATTAATTTTGGATTAAACTTCAATACAGAATAATTACTATTTATAACGCTAGTGATCGAGAGGACTCGAACTTAAAACCTTCCATTTTTCACGTAAATAAAAAAATAACCAGATCATCACTTGATTGATTATTTGTTTAGATTATTATTGAATTATTTATTGCTCAAAATAATATTTTATTATCATTATCATTGTCATTAACAATTCCTCATTCAATGAGTATCAACAAGAAAATAAGTAGATATGCAAAAGTGAAATAATCCGAATTTTTATTTTCAAAGATTTTTCATTTAAATTTAATAAACTGACAGCGTGAAAAATGTATTTAAATATTTAAACGTGAATTAATCATTTGTACAGTGATAAACCGAATCAAAAACCAATTAAAAATCAAATAAATCAAATAAAAACCAAGATTTGGGCGGAATCGAACCGAATCAGCCCAAACCACTTCTAGAAGCCTCTCCCCTCTATATCCAGCGCAAACTTCACTCTCCCCTCACCATTTTCTGCGCCACCTCCAACTTTTCACATTCATATTGATTATGGAATTATTCTCAAATTCAATTGAGTTTTATTTAATTACTATGTCGAACTAAATTCTCATACTAGGAATTTGATGTAGCTTAATTTCTTTTACAATTTATAATTCTTTCCCTTTCTTCTTCCCTGCAACTGTGCGTCACTGCCAGCAACTCCAGCAGCTCCAGCAACGTCAGTCGATCACCACCGCGTGCCAGTTGCAGTCGCACCGCCTTCATAGCGCGCCAGCACGTCCCGTAGCTCCTCCGCGCGCCACAGTCAGCCGTCTGCCAGGCCTGTCGCGCCTACAATAGCAGCACCAGCTTCAAGCCTCGCTGCCAGCCGCTCCTCCGCCAGACCGTGTGCCACCGCCGCCGATCGCCACTGTCTCCGCCTCTCTCCGCCACTGTCAGTTGGATCCGGCCACTGGCAGTTACTGCCCTTCGATCCGGCACGCGAAAACTCCCGATCTAGCAAAATTATATTTTGGCGTAACAAAATTAATGCTTTTTAAATTTTAGTTACTTAATTAATTTTTTTTATTGTAGTTAATTTTATTTAAGTTAATTTATTGTAGTTAATTTATTTAGTTAATTTAATTTAGTAATTGTGAGTAGTTAAATTAAGTTAATTTAATTTTCAGTATTGATTTATAATATAAATGTTGATTTAATTAAAATCCTTTCATTAATTTATTGAGGAATTTTGATGATAATATCATGAATGGAATGAAATGAGGAATTGAGAATTTAAGGTAATGTTGATATTGATATTCGGATGGAGGATGAGAAAATTGAATTGATTGATTGATTGCTCGATGGATGGGCCGTGTGGTTTGGAGTTATCAGATAAATTATTGATATTCTAACAGGTAGATAGTCCAATTTTTAAGGGAGATGCTGTCGAAATTTTGGTAGAAAAATAAAATAAATTTCAGAAGAAAATAAATAAAATAGAGTTCGGTAGAAAATTAAAAATTTATTACAGAAACAAAATTAAATATTGAGATTAAACTACGTAGAAAAAGTTAGAATATAAAAATAAAATTCTTAGAGTGGTAGAGAAATATTTCGTCTGATAGAATTATTTTTTTTGTGTCATTCTTACTTTGCTTAGATCGCTCGGGTTCGTCTAGTGCTTCTCCCGGACAGAATCAAGCTAGAGCTTTGTTCTCTACCACTGTGAGTAATAATAAATAATGCATATCAACACTGCATTTGCATAACATTTATTTATAAACATTATATTTTTATTTACATATTTAATTTACATATTTACATATATTATAAGTATTTTATCATATATATTATGTTACGATCACTTATAATTATACTTTATATATTAATTGTGCCATTTGGCTGAAAAATTGGCTGTTATTTTTTTTTAATTGGAATTTTTTTTTGAATGAATTGTCTTGATTATTTGTGCTTGTGACTAAATACTGTGATTTGTTTGTGTGGAATTGGGATGAAGTGGGTCACCGTGGGTTTGTAGAATGGTTATATGTGATATGGATCCTGAATATGATATGAGAATTTGGCCGGCGTAAATGGGAGATCGGCGCCCCCTAGTGCTGCACCTTTTACTACTTATGATCTGTGTGATATGGAAAACCACAGGTTGGTCTCTTTATTGGGCGCACCTGATAATCTAGAATTTGATTCGCAGCCCCGCAGGGTGGCCTCCTGTTGTGAGCGCCTGATGAATCTAGATTTGATGGAGACGACCGGGTTACCTCCTGTTGCGTATGGAAAAAATAGACGGAGAATGGGAAAACAATGAAGATGAGGCTCGGTCAAGTGAGGATTAGGAACCGGTCGGGGCCAGTCTTAGGGGGATCGGCTCCCTTGCGTGCACATGTGAGAGGAGAGCCATGGGGGAGGACGGCTTCATTCGGGGTTCCGGTGACTCCACTGACTAATTTCCACGTGATGTGATTATTGGAAGGTATTATTGTTTGTGGTTGCTGATATTGATCCATATGATATGATTGACTGCTGTGTGTACATCCAGTATTCTAGGGTGCATTTGTGTGACTGTTTGTGATGTGTATTATTTATTATTATTTACTGAGTTGCAAAACTCACCTCCCCAACAAACCTCCCAGGTACTAGGAAGCAGCTGATTCGACAGAAGCTCTGCAATCTTCTCCGCAGAGTTATAAATGTAGGCTTACTACGGGCCTCAGGGCCTTAAGCTTACCTGGGCCCTAGTGCCGGTCCGGCCCACTTATCAGACTATTATTGAACTCCGCAGTTATAGGGTTGTGTATTTAAATTGGGTTTTATTGTTAGCACTACGCTATAAATTAATTATTGTTTAATTAGCTACAGGTGAATCAGTAGGCCCATATTGTGATTATGATTTATTATGAACAGGCCCTGGTTAAATTTTATGTATTATTGAGATTGGGTCAGATGTTTGAAAATTTTTATCAACTTGTATCTTAAGTCATATGGGCTTACTGTTTTGATGAAATTGGGACAGATAGTTAGATAGATTGGATAATTTAGGCTTACTATGGGCCTCGGGGGCCTTAAGCTTACCTCGGGGCCTTAAGCTTACCTGGGCTTAAGCTTACCTGGGCCTTAGTGCCCGATCCGGCCCACGGAAAACGGGTCGTGACAAAAAGTATATGTTTAGTGTAAGTGTATGATATGTGTTATTTTTATATATATTTTTAATATAATTTTTTATTAGAAATTTTATTAGAATTTTTAGTATTTTTAATTACTTTAATTAGTTTTTATTTATTTTTATTTATATTTTTGTATAAAGCTTCCTTTAATCACATTTCACTTGATCTTGAGAAATTTTGTAAGATTTTTATAAGAAACCAACTTAACTCCTATCTAGGCTCTGGAAGAGTTCTAATTGGGAAAAAAAAATACAAAGTCTAAAGAGTTTCTTATCTTCAAAAGATATCTTCCTCAATAAAAATTCACTTTCTTAAACGAAAACGAAAATATTCCAGAAAGTTTAGCCATAAAGACAGAATCCATTCATTGTATATTCCATCTTTTTTCTATTGTTTTTCTCTTTCTCTCCAGGACTTGAAATGCTCAAGATTTGTGTGAAGATTCAAGGAAGCCGTCCAGAATTATTTGTTGAATAGTTTTTATCTCTAAACTCTTAATCTTGTTTTTACTTTTCATCATTCATATTGATTATGGAATTATTCTCAAGTTTAATTGAGTTTTATTTAATTACTTTACTAGTCGAAACTAAAATTCTCATACTAGGGATTTGGTGTAGTTTATTTCTTTTAGCAATTATAATATTAAATTTTGCTTTTTTTTGTTATAGTATAATTTTGAACTTAATGCTTCCAGGCAGAGTTTCTCCACTGGATTGATTTATTTCATTAATCACTATCGGGAGAAGGGTTTTTGATATGAAAAAGATAATAAATCACATGAGAATAATAACTTGATACGGAAGCTATATGGTTTGACTTATAGAGAGTTTTCATAAGTTAATGACCTTAGGTTATGAATTCACAAAACAAACCATAAAACTTAATGATATAATTCATGTTTGATTGCGCTATTGGAAGATAGGTAATTAGACGGGGTTAAAATAGCTAAAAATAAATCAAGAGAGCTTGTTAGTGATTTTAGGGTTGTTTTCCCTACTTGAAACAATTAAAATTGATTATCAAACTAATAAAATAAATTGGGATAGAATTAAGTAGAGATCCCTAGTAAGCTTTAAATCCCTTGTTTTCTTTTACTCAAAAAATTGCCTTGCTTTATTTCTTTTCATTCTCTTTTTTTTATTTGTTAAAGTTAATTTCTTAAAATAATTTCCCTTATTGCCGTTTAAATAATAGTAGATTAATATAATTTTGGTACTTGATATACAATTCTCGCGGAAATGATACTCTACTTACTTTTTATTATTTATTGTGATTTCCTACATTTGCGAAAATCACTATCAACGTACATATGAGCCTGTCCAGACTTTTCCAATGAACTTATAGAAAGTGGAAGGTATAGAAAGTGGAAGGAAGCTACATAGGGAAATGTAGAGCTTCAATTTTCAGTGCTTCTGGATCACATGATCAGAAGCATCTGCAATATCTTTATGCATTGTTTGCAACTTGCAAGATCTATTTTTCCACTATAATGACAGCCAAAAAGGCTTACAAGTGGACTTAAACACAAGTTTTTGATATATAATTTTCAAATCTTTTTGTTTGAACATACGGAAAAGCCGAAAAAGACTCCGCGAGCCAAAGATTTTATATACACTAAATCACGGGAACAATGATTTTGTGCTCTTTCTCTTTTCAGCTCTTCTTTTACTATTTAAAAAGATTATAGTACCCTTATTTATCAACATTCCATCATTAACCACAGCAGTAGACGTCATTTGTTTTCAACGGTAGATGGAAGGATAGAGGATTACAGCTGGCAAATGATGGAACGTATAAATCTGCCTGTGAAATTTACGTATTACTTTGTGAAACTTTTAAGTTTGAAGATACTGGTACCTTTAAAGTTACAATTTTTAGTACTAAATGTGCACCTCATATGTGGCCAAACAAAGCGTGAATCTCACACACCCAATGAGATGGAAAAAAAAGATGACAAGTGGGATAATTTTCATGCACAGGCTTCAACTGATGTAATATATAATAAAAGAAAAAATTTTCTATTCATTGAGTAATTTAATTCAAAATAATTTTTAATAATTATTTCTTCAAAATAAAATTCAAATCTCTTCAAAAATTCAAATTTCCTATACCCCTAAACCTTTATAAGTAGTTGGAAAATATGGAAATTAAATTCAAACAACATTCAAAGTTCTAAATGTTTAGCGTTTTAGTTAAATTAAAATTTCATCTCTATTAATTTTACCATTGGGTAATATAGCTTTTACAGTTGCTTTTAAAGATTAACTAAGCACTTTTTATAAAACGTTAAATACTCTAATACTTAACATTTTATGTAAATACTCCTAAATCTTAACATTTTATGGAGATTAATTGAATATATTTTGATAATTACACTCAAAGGTTTTTTTTTTTCTCAAATTCAGCTAATTATAGCTTATTAACTTTTAGTTGTCGAGATAGATTTCAATGAAATGTTTTGAAAGTCCAAACGTTACATAAGTTAACTTTTCAACAAAATCTACTTTAACCTCTAAAAGCTAGTTCAGACATTATATTACCGAACACTATTAAAAGTTATTAAACCGGGACACCAGCTCAGAAGTAGCTCAGTATACTATTTCACAAAAAGTTATTCCAAATCCATGTTTAGATTAATAGTAAGTGTAATTTTGATTTTTGAAGGGCCGTCAGATTAGGCTCTGAAAACTTATAATCCAACGACCGTTTGAAAACAAAATCGAGTTATTAACCAATCCAACCTAAAAAAAGAGCCCATTCGAAAAAGAGTTTGAGAAGGTGGGCCTTGATTAAAAGCCCAAGATCATTGTAAGAACTGGCCTGCTCATATGCTTTTGAGTTTTGACAGTAGTACACGAAAATACAAATATTCTTACAACCTTTTCAAACCTTTTCAAAGAAACTTAACCAAATGAAATTATGCGCCTTCATCTTTATCTCTAAATTTAAATTCCGCATACAGGCCTAACAGATAATATTGTCCAGAAACACCAGAATATTGTTATATGCCTTAAGACCATGATTTGCGGGGTGAATGGTAAAAGCTAGACTTGAAGTCAGTCAATACAGAACTTCCTGCTTCCAAGCCAGATGGTTAAGTGAAGTGGACACCGCTCTGCCTAACAGAATGGTCATAGTAATCTAGAACCATAACCAAAAATTGCAAGACCATGCTAGTATAACAAATATGGTTTAAAAAATTTATCTATGGTTATTGATCCAATATCTATTATCTATTTTGAAATATAAAATATTAAAATTTAAAATTATTCACTCTGACAAAATTTTTAATTATAATTTTATGAAGAATTATCTTTACTATGATATATTGAGAGATAAAATCTCTCGTGTTTATAGAGAAGCTAATTTTAGTGTGGATTGGTTCGTAAATTATATTATGAATTTTTTTTTATGAGAGTTCGTCATTTTCTCTTACCTTCTCCGTGTTTGAATGAATGACTTTTTATAATATCAATGAGTGATTAAACACTAACTTTGGTCTAAAAAACACTAACTTTGGTCTAAAGCAGGGGGCCTAAGAATGCGACTTCATGAAAATTGCTTGTCACATTTTTTTCCACTCCGACTCATTCAAGTCTATGGCATTTTCTTCTGCATTATTGGTACAAGAATAGACCGGCCATTAAAAATTTTCCAAGTAGTCAATTAAACATTGAATTTTCAAGTGATACTCTCATTTTTATTATTTCCATTTATAATTTTAGATGCAACAGCTGAAATTAAGCTATGTGAAGCGAAATAAAAAAATATATATATATTAAGATTTTTTTCTTAGGAGTATTTCTATATCCTTTCAATATGAAAATAACCTCTCTTATCTTTAATATCTATGCTTCAAACTAAATCTATAAAGAGATAAATTGAATAATAATATAAATATCCATCTGTGATTGGCATGAACATTAAAAATTTAACTTTTTTTCAGCCAATTATTTCATAATATTTATTCTTATATCACTTCAAAATTTTAATTAAATCAAGTAAAATTTCATTTTAAACTATAAGTAAAAAAATTTTTAACTAAGAAAAAGATTTAAAGAATACAATAAGCCATTGAATTTTAAGGAATTGTTCATAATTTAAAAAACCTTAAACACTTACATATTTGAATTTTAAGGAATTGTTCATAATTTAAAAAACCTTAAACACTTACATATTTTCAAATCTTAAATTTCTAATTTTACTGCACCAATCTAAAGAGAGCTCGAGTGAACTAATTTCTGTTATCAGTAGTGAACTATTGGTCAAAATAATCGATGGATAGCAATCATAAATTTTGATGTCCCATGTCCTATGTCTAACAAGAAAGCAACACATTTTTAATGTCTACAAAGGATCCATCGATGATGGCGCCTATACTGTCGCAATCAAGCGATTACATTCATCATCAAAACAGGGAGCTCGCAAGTTCAAAACAGAAATCCAGATGCTTTCCAAGCTCCGTCACACGCATCCCGTGTCTCTAATCGGATACTGTGATGATCCAGGCGAGATGACTCTGGTATACGAGTTCATGCACCGCGGGACTCTCCGTGATCATCTCTACAAAACCAAAAACCCTCCTCTTCCATGGAAGCAAAGACTACCTCTTCCATGGAAGCAAAGACTACAGATCTGCATCGGAGCTGCACATGGACTGCATCATCTCCATACAGGTGCGAAACACCCGATCATTCACCGCGACGTCAAGTCAACGAACATACTGATAGATGAAGAACTGGGTGGCTAAAGTTTCTGACTTTGACTTGTCAAGAATGGGTCCCACTAGCCAGTCCCAAACGCAAGTCAGCACTGTTGTCAGGGGTAGTGTTGGATATGTAGATCCAGAGTATTATCGTAGGCAACACCTCACTGAAAAATCTGACGTGTACTCATTCGGAGTTGTTCTATTGGAGGTATTATGTGCTAGGGCACCTGTAATTCCAGGATTACCCAAAGAGCAAGCGAATTTAGCTGATTGGGCTAGAATCTGCTATAGAATCTGCTATAGAAGAGGTGCACTCGATCGAATAATGGACCCGCACTTGAGAGGTGATACTGATCCTGCCTGTTTGGAGAAATTTGGAGAGATTGCGGAGAGCTGTCTGCGTGACAACGGAGCACAAAGACCGGCAATGAGCGGCGTGATATGTGAGATGGAGTTAGCATTGCAGCTTCAAGAGACGGCAGAGAAGAGTAGAAATAGTAGTGTTGAGAGTGTGGGTGAAGAGCAGGAAAGTCCATTGTTGTTGCGTGGGGAGGCTGTTGTAACTACTGATGATGATGATATATTTAGCATTTCAGGCGAACAAAAGGACTCCAGGAGCACAGTTAGCAGTGGTGAAGGGAGTGCTGCTAAACTTGATCCTGATGGATTTAAGTCTAAGTCTGTATTTTCGGAAATTATGAATCCAATGGGAAGATGAAAATTGTAGTTAAGTCCAATGGATTTAAGCCTCTGGTATGCTTATTAACGTCTATCAAATTTGGCATGGTTTTAGAAAGGAATCCTGAGAGTAAATGCTGATGATCTTTTTCCAATTTGTAGTTACAATAAGAATGGACAAAATTTGTTTATACTCGACAATGTGCTATTATAGACAACAAGACCTGCTCGCTTTTTTGTTTCTTAAAAATGTTGTTTCCCGGTTACTGGGTTTTTAGTTGTTTGAAAGAATTGCAATTGGATAAATATGGAGACTAAGATCATTACCGCTGCTCTATTCTGCTAGATAAGATCATTACCGCTGCTCTATTCTGCTAGTTTGAATATTTTCTTAAAATTTAAGCATTTCTATGTAATTATACTATTTCTAAATAATGTACTATCTAGATTTTAATTAATATAATTAATAGTTTGATATGGATTTCTCTCCAATGATATAATTAATCCAACTTCTTAAGATCTGCATTGCTCTGTTTGTGAAGGGTATAATTATACTATTTTGTTGTCATTGTCGTTATAGCTAATCTATTCACCAGGTCTTCCGCAGTTCTTTATTTAATTTGTATTCAACAAGGTCTTTTTAAAATCCTATGGATGACTTTCTACATACTAGAAGTCTTCTTGCCCGACCCATTTTGTCGATGTTACATATTTTGTCCAACCACAATTAGACCTTACGGTCAGCCCCTTACTTTCTGAGCACGTACCACTTGATTAAATGATAGTGCCAAAACTTGTCAACTTGTCAAACTGGAGGGGATTTGTTTACTCCCAATGCTTTTTAAGTTACAATTAACAGTTCTCAAAACAAGAAATGACTTTGGATAAACATGTTGCAAGAAGCCTCTTGAGAAGGATATAGAGCTTTGTAGAGCTTGTGACTTCAGTAATTTGGATAAAAGAAAAGGGTGTGTCTGATGGTGATGAATTATATTCTCTGATTGAATAATAAATTATATCTAGTTTTATTATGATAAAAAATCAATTATTTAACATTTTTCTTAAAAAAAATTAGTAGAATTTTTTATCACTTAAATTTAATTTTTATTTAACTAGTGCGAATACAGGAATTGGAGATATAGATCACCATATGCACAGTCAGGAGTGAATTGGTATATTATATTGTCAATATCTCTATATATTGTATATTTTCTCATATATTTATCACATGATTAATTAATGGCAGTCAATTATTAGCTTAGTGCAAGTATTTTTCTTATGCCCCTAAACCTTTACAAGTATTTGGAACATACGGAAAGAAATTAAATTCAAAATCCAAAACACAACATCCATGGGCTTCATAAATGTCTCAGTTTGTTCTTTGTTCTCTGTCTTTCTAATCTTGACAAAATTAATTTCTCGTGCATCTCTCTTTATAAATTTTCTCCCATGCATCACTGCTATTAACAACTCGACGCCGTATGATCCAACAGAAATCTTCCTGCTCAACTGTGGCGCATCCTTCGACACTACATCACTGGATGGAAGAAATTGGGTTAGCGATTTCAACTCCAAATTTCTAGCCTTTAATTCTCAAATCTCTTCACTTGAGTATACAGCCTCCCTTCAAGATCCCTCTGTAACTTCTCTTCACTTGAGTATACAGCCTCCCTTCAAGATCCCTCTGTAACTCAAGTGCCATTCATGACCGCACGTTGACCGCACGTATATCTCAATCCAAATTCACCTACGTGTTTCCTGTCTCACCTGGCTCAAAATTTGTTCGTCTCTACTTCTATCCTGTTGCTTACTCCAATCTTGATATCTCCAAATCCTTCTTCTCCGTTGAAGCCAATGACTACACACTTCTAAGCAACTTTAGCGCTTCTCTTACAGTTTCAGCCATGCAGCCTCCAGCTGCTGCCATTGTGAAAGAGTTTGTCATTACTATTCAGGTGAATCAGATGCTTAACATAACTTTTAATCCATCTCTTCCATCTCTGAAATCTTTTGCCTTCATAAATGGTATTGAAATCGTTTCCATGCCAGACAGTCTTTATATACACGGAAATGATAGCCCGCTGACAAATGTTGGCATTGACTATCCCTTCTATTTGGATAATACAACAGGTCTTGAGACTGTTTATCGGTTAAATGTTGGAGGACGGGATATCGACGGTTCAGATGACACCGGAATGTACAGGAAATGGGTTCAAGACTCTAATTATATTTTCGGAGCTGCATTTGGCGTGGTGTCTATTTCTAAGGTTAAGATAAATTATACAAAGAGTACTCCGGCTTGGGTTGCTCCTGAATTGGTATATAGTACTATGCGTTCAATGGGTCCTCGACGAAAAGTTAACATTAAATACAATCTCACTTGGATATTCCCCGTTGATACTGGATTCAACTATCTTGTTCGTCTCCACTTTTGTGAGACTCGACTAGAGGTTACCCAAGGCATACCGGCGGACGAAAATTTGATTCCGAAAGTGATCATTTGATCCAAATTAATTCCTTCATATTCCATATTAACAACAAGAGGTTATTAAGCCAGGAAAAAAGAACGTCAACCTCGAACCAATTCTTACCGTAGGGAGTAGGTGCTAAGATACGAGTCTAATAAACAAACCCTGAATCAACTTAGCAAATTCCTATAGGTACGACCGATAGGATTTAATTGTTAACCGCTTTAAAATCTAATAGAACCCTGTCCAAGATTAAGCAGAACTACGAGCAGTCCATTAAATACTGATTATGATTCTATTACTTAATAATACAACCTAAAAAGTTCTACCCAATTAAGTTATATTAATTACTACTGCATCAACCTAACCAAACAATTACGGATTTGATTACGCCGAATAGCTATGGAAATTTCTACCAATCAACATAACGGGCCCTGTTAAACCATTCAATAGAATTTCACTAGGGGATATATTTTCTCAATAAATCACAGAAAGGATATAAATGCAATAGAATAAAGAAATTCAATTAAGTTCAATATAATCTCACAATCGAAATCAAACTTCTACCTTGGTTTAGCCTTAACTGAACAGAACGCTTAGCCACACATGGCTATTGAAGAAAACATGCCACATCATTGACTATGGAAGAAAGAACATTCCTCACAAGAATTGAAAGTTCAGGTAGAAATCTCTCAAAAAAATTCTGTTCAAATTCTCACAACCCAAGGGAGGCGAAAGATAAATCCACAAATTAAGACCCTAATTTCGAAGCTTAAATACCGACCTAGGAAGGTGGGTCATAAACACTAATACAATTAAAAAATAGCCATAAAACCCTGTTCTAGATATCAATCCTAAGCTGGGCTGTAAAACGTTGCTGAATTAGTTGGAAGAAGCGTGACCAGCCAATAATGTCACAATCAGTCCGCTGGTCTGATTTCCTGCTTAGTCTTGCCCAAGGCTAAGAGCCTAACAACTTGTATTTGTGTTCCAAAATTCCAGCAGCTCCGTCCTTGCTCCAAAACATTTCAATTGTGCTCCTTTTTGCTTTATTCGTATCAAATCCAACTTTTCCTAACATAAAAACAATAAATCCAACTTTTCCTAGCATAAAAACAATAAATCAAGTTAAACCACTCTTTTAAGCACAAAATGACACCAAATCAACACAAATATAACAATAAAAGAAAATTGGATTTACAAGTTATCAAATTTCCCCACACTTATCCCATGCTTGTCCTCAAGCATGACTTAGAATTCGAAATCTAATCTATATAGGAGACCACAACTTCACAACGAAACTCGATTCAACATATACAAAAACCTCAAACAACGCAACATCGCAATTGGATACCAAACAGTATCATGTCTTGTAAATATTAAGTACATTATTAATATAAACAGCATCAGCATGATATAAGAGTCTGTATCCATTATTATATCAGCATGACAGGGCATAAAGTCAACCAGTTTGTAGCATCTCGGTTTGGTTCATTCGGGTTAACGGGTGGACCGGGAAGGGATGTTACAACGCAACATCGCAATTGGATACCAAACTGTCAAAATCATCCAATCATCGTGAACTCAATCGAAAAAGGTTACACTAAGAATTCTTAAAACACTCACGCACACATACGAAGCTTGAATCAACAAATGTTTTATCGAGCAATAATCAAAGCATATAAAATACATTTTCATAGCTTCAAGAAAACAAGATAATGAACAACCATAATCTCTCCTTGCGGTTCCCTCTCCACTAATGTAGGACAAGTCTCAACTAAGTATCATTAGGTCTTATGTATGGGTTAGGCTAGGGTAATGGTTACAAAAGAAAAGGATAATGTAAGGCTAGAGAATAACAAGAAAATAAGTCTTTCACATTAGGTTCAAAGAGCAATGCATGTTATTAACTTTAATGTTTAGATGGCAACAAATGCAACTTCACAAAACAAAACATAACATTGCAGCCTTCTCTATTTTTCTCTTTTTTTTCTTCTTTTTTTTTTTTTGAAATTTTTTTCTCTTTTTCGACATCACAATGACTAATTACATATAAGTCGCTATGATTATTTATTCCAAAACACAAACATAAACACGAAACAAAAGTGCATTCACGCCAAAACTTGAAACTTAAAAATGCATGCTCAATAACGATTAAAAAAAAATTATTTCCTTGTTCAAAGGTGGTAGGCAAAGAGCTTTTTGGGTTATATGGTTATATTGGGGGTTATGAAAAGAGTTTAGAAGCACGCATTTAGCATGCTTCGTAGGCTAGAAGGGGTAAAAAGAACGGTGACGTCAAGGTGGGAAAACGTAAAAGGGATTAATGAATCGGCCAAAGAATGCCTAGATCATTTCCAAAGTCGAGACTCACCTAGGATTTCGCCTCAAGGGAACGTAGAAGAAAGTTCTAGTGTTCGGAAGCTATCCTAAACTTTTGCTTCGACAATTGCTCTCACAAACACTTATCAAAAGAGGATAAGTTTTGAAAACCCGATTTGAGAATTCAAAGTGTAGACAATTTAAACCAAGATTCATGAGTGCAATGACGGTCAATTTCAAGTTATGGTTTCCGCTCGCTAAGTCCTAAGTCTTATCGTCTAGGGTTCTCACAACAGTCAGACCAAGTTTCAAAAGCAAAGTTCTCCTCTCTAAATATCCTATGAGTTCTAAATCATGTTTAAAGACACAATCAAGTCCCAGAGTAATCCCAAATTCAGCTCAAAAATAAAAAATTTTACTCAAAATATTCATGGGATAAGTGGTAAACAAAAACTCTAGGAGCATTTTTACAAAACAGTCAAAAATGGTCAAGTAGGAGCATTTTTACAAAACAGTCAAAACCGGTCAAGTTTCATACCAAATATGCACATGGCAGCAGCATAAACATAAGCAAGTACTAAGAACAACACATGGCAGTAAAATTAAAAATTTCAGCAAAGATGGTCACATTCCCCGCCAATTCACAACAATTTGGCCAAGTTGAAGAACCCTCCAGGAAGCTATATCAGGTATGTGATTCTTCCATTCAGTCTCAACTGAATGAACTAACCTCTATTGTTAAATCTATTGCTGCAGGGCAACCTGTGAAGAGAAGTGTGTGCGAGGTATGTTGCAGCGATCACCCAACCAGATCTGAAAACACACAAAACAACAACCAAAAGAAAAACAAAAGAACAATAAATGCAAACCAAAAATGGTTGTTAGGCTGCAAATGTTGATTCAGCTTTCTATTACCTCAAAATATGTTAACCCAATCAAATTTCCAATACTGAACATGGCATATTTCCAATCCCACCAACTTCTGCAATTCAATCAATTGGGTTTGATGTTGTACCTATTACTCTCAATACTGAACATGGCATTAAAACAACATAGCAAAACAAGCAAGCAAACTTAGTTGAAACAATGACAACAGATTCTAAGTTTTAAGAGCTTATATTCAGAATACTAATTTTAAACCCAATAAATTGATCCCAAATCGCATTGAACACTGAATTTAGTCAATAAAAGCCTAGAATTAAACCCAACTCAGAATATTCAGCAATCGAACTCCACTCAGTTATCAATTCCAACTCCAATTTAAACAAAATTCGAATTATCTCCACTCAGTTATCAATTCCAACTCCAATTTAAACAAAATTCGAATTATCAACAAGCAAGAAAATTATAAAAACTTCCCCTTCAGCAAGTATTGCAAAGTTAAGCAATAAAACCTAATAAAAACTTGCGAAACAACAAAACCCATAAATCATAATGTGCTCAAATAGCTTCAGCCAACAATCTATAATATACCTAAATTCTTCCCTAATTCAAATTCCGCAACAATTGATTAACTAAAAAAAAAACCCAATTGAAATCGATGACAATGCAGTAAATTGGAGCACAGACACTATCTTAAATCACGATTTCTATTCTAATAGGAAGTAAATTAATACCTGTTGCTGAAGTTGGCACGGAAAGGAATCAGATGAGGAAGGAAGACGCTGCTGTTGGATTTTGCGTCGCGCTGTAAAGTGACGTAGGATTGGGCTAAGGACGAAACAAAAGTCTGTTTGGGTTTTAGGTTGTCGATCGGAGTGACAAAATTCTTGTCGTCGATCTTCAGAACTCCTGCCGTCGTTCAAGAATCTCAGCCAACGCAGGTTTCATCGAAAGAGCGCCTCCTGCCCCTATTGTGCCTGCTGCCCCTGTTTGGGTTCTCTTATTCTCTCTTTTTTTTTCTTTTTTGTTTTCTTTACTGTTGCCGCACAAATATAACCAGCTATTATTATTATTATTATTATTATTTTTACCCAGTATAATAACAAAGTAGCTGAATAAAAGAAAAAGAAAAAAAAAACTCTAAGTCAGGAGTGCAAATATACCCGCTGCATTTAAAATGAATAAAAACTCTCTAATTACTCACCCCAATGAACACAATAAAAATTACAAAATAAAACAATTTTAACCTATACGTCTCAATTTAAAAACCCCAGTAGAAAGCTTTGCTCTAGACGTTAAACCCAGAAAAACACAGTGTCCCCAGGTTAGGGACGACACTGTTCATGCAATTTTTTGTTGTTTTTTTTTTTCAAAAAAAAAAAATAAATAAATAAAGAAAAAAAAATAATAATGAAAATTCAGAGAAAAAAAAATATAAAATAAAATGAAACAGAAACTAAATGCTGGGTTGCCTCCCAGTAAGCGCTTGATTTTAACATCTCCGGCTAGACGTTCTTGAGCTAATCAGCTATATTCCCCTGGCTCTTCGAGCCTCAAATTCTCTGATTGAGTAGCTCCAAAACCTTCATAAAATGGTTTCAATCGATGCCCATTCACCTTAAAAATTTTATTGTCTCTAGACTAAATTGGAATTTCCACTACACCATGAGCAAAACATTAGTAACAACAAATGGACCAGTCCATCTAGACCTAAACTTTACCAGGGAAAATAATTTGAGTTTAGAATGAAAATAATAGAACTTGTGACAACTACAAAGGCTCTTACCTGTGATGATCGATGCCGATTCATGGAAAGCGCTTTTAGTTCATCT